GCCATTTCTGCAGCAGATGGCCTTGTTGACTTTAAAATGGGCGGCAGCCAAGGCCCTCTTGAGAAAAAGAAGAAGGATGGTGGCGGCAGGAAAGATAAGTCTGGCACTTCCAACGATGCAAAGATAGCGGATTGGAAGAAAAAGAAGAACGTTGCTGACTTTAACAAGTCAGACAACAGCCAGAAGAAGAAAACTTTTGATTCTGGTTGTTTTCTCTGCGGTGGCCCCCATCGTGTCAAAGACTGTCCCAAGAGGGAGAAGTTAAGTGCCCTTGTTGCTGCAAGTGAGAATGACAATGATAATGACTATCCTACCCGAGTCAACCCTCTCCAATTGCTGAACGCAATTACTGTGGGCAAAGTTCAGCAACCCCGCAAAAGCCTCATGTTTGTTCAAGTCTGGGTGAATGGCAAGGAAGTTCAAGCCATGGTGGATACTAGAGCCACCCACAACTTTGTTGTCCAAAGAGAGATGGGAAAATTTGGCCTAAAATTGTCAGAGAATTCAAGCAAACTCAAGGCAGTAAATTCTGAAACAATGTTAGTATGTGGTACAACAGAAATATACTTAAAGGTGGGTCTGTGGGAAGACCAAATGAGTTTGATGGTTGTGCCCTTGGACGACTTTGATATCATCTTAGGGAATGAATTTTTTGTTATAGCGAAAGTGGCACTGATGTCACATCTGAACGGAGTGCTGATCACGGATGAGAAAGCACCCTGCTTTGTGCCTGCAGTCATGCCAGACCAAAGCAAGAAAGATTGAGAGTGGAAGGTGGGAATGTTGACCGTCATGTAAGTAAATGTTGGGTTGAAGAAGAGTGAGATGACATATCTTGCAACCTTGGTGGAGATCAAACTAGATGTGCTGGTTAAAGTACCTGATACTATGGCAGATGTACTAGTCAAGTTTGCTGATGTTATGCCCCCTAAACTCCCCAAGACCTAAACTCCCCAAGAATCTTCCACCCAGACATGCAATTGACCACAAGATAGAACTGGAGCCTGGTGCAAAGCCTCTAACCTGTGCCCCTTACTGGGTGTCGCCAATGGAACTGGCAGAATTGAGGAAGCAATTGAACGAGTTATTAGATTCTAGCAGCATGAAGCCATCCTAGGCACCATACGGAGCCCCTGTTCTGTTCCAGAAGAAGCAAGATAGATCGTTGCCCATGTGCATCGATTATCGTGCCTTGAACAAGGTGACTATCAAGAACAAGTACCCTGTTCCGAATGTTGTTGATCTGTTCGACAGACTGTCCAAGGCCACTTTCTACACAAAGCTGGATCTTAGGACTGGGTATTGGAAGGTTAGAATTGCAAAAGGGGATGAGTCAAAGACTGCGTGTGTGACGCGTTATAGTTCTTTTGAATTTCTTGTAATGCCATTTGAGCTCACTAATGCCCCGGTAATTTTCTGTAATCTAATGAGTGATATTTTTTATGATTACATTGATGCCTTTGTGGTTGTTTACTTAGATGACATTGTAATTTATAGTGAAATGCTGGAGGATAACATAGATCATTTGAGGACTGTGTTCTCACAGCTTAGGGAACACCAGCTGTATGTCAAAAAGGAAAAATGGGAGTTCTGTCGCCAAGAAATGATGTTCTTGGAACATTACATTAGCCAGGGCAAAATCCGGATGGATGAGAGGAAGGTGAAGGCAATCGTTGATTGGTCTGCACCAACCAAGGTGTCTAAACTGAGGTTGTTTCTTGGCCTAGCCAATTACTACCGCCAGTTCATTGAAGGATATTCAAAGAAGTGCAATGTCCTAACTGACTTGCTGAAGAAAGACCAAAAATGGGATCGAAATGATGCCTGTCAGACAACTTTTGAGAAGCTGAAGCATGTAGTATCCTCTGCACCTGTACTGAGATTGGTGGACTTTGATCTGCCTTTCGAAGTGCACACTGATGCCTTTGACCGCGCCATTGGAGGAGTCTTTGTTTAGGAAGGACACCCTGTTACCTTTGAAAGCCAAAAATTGAAAGATGCTAAGCAGCGATATTTAGCACATGAGAAGAAAATGACTGATGTGGTGCATTGCCTTGAAATTTGGAGGCACTACTTGCTGGGAACGAAATTCACTGTTTGTGACAGATAATGTGGTAAACACAGACCCGGGAGGCAAAATCAAGTTGCTGATGCGTTGAGTGGGAAGGAGATCCAAGAATATGTATTTACACTGTCCAATGTGCAGACTGACTTCCTGGCAAGAGTCAAAGAACGTGCCTAAACTGATGTTGCTTACGGAAAATTGAAGCAGCGAGTTGGCGAAGGTCTGGTGCGTAGATACTGGATTGATGATGATCTGCTCTATGCTAAAGAGGGCAGACTCTATGTTTTTACGGGAGGGGAACTACGACTGGAGTTGCTGCATGAGACACACAACTCTCAGTGGGCTGGACATCCAGGAGTAGAGAGGATGTTTGCATTGCTGGCTAGCTCCTATTACTAGCCCAAGATGGAAGATGATGTTGAAGCCTATGTCAGAACCTGTTTAGTGTGTCAACTTGACAAGGTTGAGAAGAAGAAGGCAGCAGGCTTGCTACAACCCTTGCCCATTCCTGACAGACCATGGCAGTCAGCCTCGATGGATTTTATTTGCAATCTACCAAAGGTTGATGACATGCGTTTGATCATTGTGGTGGTCGATCGTTTCTCTAAGTATGCGGTGTTCATTTTTGTACCTCATGCTTGCCCTATAGATGTTGCTGCAGAACTGTTCTACAAGTACGTGGTGAAGTACTTTGGATTGCCCGAAGATATAGTCAGTGATCGTGATACCAGGTTCACTGACAGATTCTGGACGGTGTTGTTCAATCTCATAGGTTCTGAGTTGAAGTTCTCTATCGCAAGTCATCCCCAGACTGATAGACAGACTGAGCGGATTAATGCCTTGTTGGAGGACTACCTGCGACACTATGTCACTGCAAGTTAGAAAAATTGGGTGGAGCTTATAGACATTGCCCAGTTTTGCTACAATTTGCATAGATCTTCAGCAACAAGAATAAGTCCTTGTGAATTGGCTATGGGACATCAGCCACTTACTCCCCATGAAGTGGTAAAACAGAGGACCGGAGGAAAAATGTCCTGCTTTATATCGGTTTGCCCATTCCAAGCAAGAGTTGCTTGACGAGGCAAAGGACAGCTTGGCCAAAGCTTCCCGATAAATGAAGAAGTATGTTGATCAAGGCCGTAGACCACTGAAATTTCAAGTTGGTGATCTAGTTTTGCTGAAATTGACTCCTGCATTATAGAAAAGGATCAACAGGAAGGTAGTACACCATGGGCTGGTTCCCAAATACGATGACCCCTTCGAGGTGATGAAGAAGGTCGGGAATATTGCATATCGCTTGAAGCTGCCTGATCAATTAAAAATTCACCTAACTTTTCATATGAATTTTCTGAAGCCTTTTCAAGAAGACTTATTGAATACTGGAAGAAAGCAAGGTAGGAGGGCTCCGCCTATCATCAGGAAACAGTTTGACAGAGAGGTCGACAAGATTCTGTCTCACCGGACCATGAGTCAGAGTAAGAAGAATTGTAGGACTGATTTTTTGGTGCATTGGAAAAGGGGTTCCAAGGCAGACGCAAGTTGGGAACGAGATGTGATTCTTTGGCAGTATGAGAAACAGATCAAGAAGTATTGAGACAACCTCTCGACAAGGACGTCGAGCTCTTCTGGTGGGGGTGGTTTGTTACCCCCTTAGCCATTGGCAGCATTTGGCCTCAAGTAGCCTCGTCTATAGGCACCCATGTTTTAGCCAAAATGGCAGAACATGCACATGGGCATGTGGGCACAAGTCAACATGCAAGCAAGGAAGCGGGCGGATTGAATTGTGAGGCGATGCTAGCTTGAATAATGAGCCATGGGCAGGGCCATGGTTAGAAACGAATGTAATGCAATTCGGATGCTGATGGCTCCTAACACATGCACAACATGTGAGAAAATTGGGCATGTGCTCTGTAGATGGTGGCAGTTCTGGACAATTTTTTGGCAAGTGCATTGCATGTGGGATCTCTGTCAGATTCAGACAAGCATGCAGACACCAATTATAACTTCCCTGTCATCCAATTACAGCAGACCTTTGGTAGCATTTGAATTTCGGATATGTGCCTAGGCAATTGGGCTTGTAACTACCACCCTGAATATTATAAATAGGGTGTTTGGGGTCTGTAGTGCAAGAAGAGAATTGACACGTTTTTGTAAACAGACCCCAAGGTTGAGTTCCTTATACTTTATTGAGAAAGAAATGTTTGGTTGTTGTCTGTAAATTCTGTGTGTCTTATCTGTGTGTTTACTTACTGTCCATTTTTTGTTTTATGTGCATTCTGAGTGTTTGTCTGAAACTAATTGTTGGATCTTAGTGCCATCACGAGACAGAAATTTGGTGAGAAATTTAACCTCATGACAATAAGTATGACATAGATGTAGTGTTGGAGGGTAAAAGTGAAAAAAAATATTTTTTATGTATGCTGACTTTTTTAAGTAGGATAAATAGATATACGTTTTTATAAACAAATTTTGAAATTTAAACAAGTATATATATGTGTGTGTGTGTGTGTATTAAAGTTCTCCCATAAAACTAGGAGATATTTAATGCACCATTTTTCAAAGACAAGTGGTGTATTAAATACACATGGATTAATGGAGGGCAAAAATGTCACAAAAAAATCAGTAAAATTCAAATAATGTACTTAGATACAAATAAATATCAAAATTAAGAACTTAATTATCAAACATTTTTTTCTATATCCTTTTTTACAATTAAGTATAATTTGGTACACCTCCTACCAATTTTCCCTTCAAAGTTACAACTTACATGTTGAACCAGTGGTAGTGGGTTGGGGCTGCCACTTGTCCAGGCATGGCCCATTCAAACTTTGTCAAAAAATACAGTCAAACGAAGCCCATCTCAGTCCAGCCCAATTTCAATAGGTTTGTGAAAAAAAGAAAATCGAGGTACACCTCTCTCTCCTCCTGTGCTGCAATGGCTGCAACTTGCGGTGTCTCTGTCATCACCCCCAAAACCCTAATACTTCATTCATCTCACCTGGTCTCAAACCCTACCCCGTCCTTTCCAAAACCTTCACTAAAACAAACTCACCAATTCTTCTTTTCCTTCCGGTTCAACGCACTACTGAATTACCTTCCAAGTCGGTCTCACTCGACCCCTCGTGCTACTCTATCGTCTCCGGTTCGGGCAGCTCTCGACAGTGAGTATTCGTCGAGGAGGAGGAGTAGCAGCAATGAGCCCAGGGAGACGCTAATGTTACCGGGCTGTGACTACAACCACTGGCTCATTGTCATGGAGTTCCCCAAAGACCCTGCACCCACCAGAGAGCAAATGATCGATACTTACCTCAATACTCTCGCTACAGTTTTGGGAAGGTTTGTTCGTGGCTTTTCATTTTCATTTCCTTTTTTGTGGGTCTGTTTGGTTCTTTGGAAAACATTTGCAGGAAGTTCTTTGTTGTCACTGATTAATTTTTGGTTAGTATTGAAGATATAGTATATATTTTGCCTAAGCTATATGGTTAGATATCTATCAATATGAAATAATGCATGTGCTCTGTTTAGTTGCTGAGAAAATGTAGGAGGAAGAGGGAAATAGATTTGTGGATGTGATTCTGCTTATTTGGGGCCTGAAGGAAACACCTAACTCCAAAAATATGGAAAACTCATGTTATAAATTTTTCTTTTTAGTTTTATCATTTATTACCAAGTGATAAAAAGAAAGAATTTTACTAATTCCTGAATGAACTTAATATGTTTTTTGTGCTCTGTTTATTGAAAAGGGTATTTATCACCCTGTGATTGAAATGTTTTTACTGTAGCAGTTGAGAAGAGTGGTACACTCATATGAAAATATTATGGGAGCATACTTCATCAAATTGTGTTTTTGTGCTCTAGTTAGGTTATGTGTTTATGCGATGGTGCTCACAAAATGTATGACCATCAGTGGTCCATATTAAAATGAATTTCTTAAAATTTATGGCAGGAGAATTTTAGGGCTCCCTTCTATGCAAATATTCAAATATCTGTTGCACATTCTTGCAAATGTTCTTTTACAGAATTTGGCAATATGGGTTTGAATGTCTAAGTTCTTGACGAATAAGACTCAAGAAATTTTACTTTTTTCTTTCCAAAATAAAGAAAGAAAAACAAAGGGCACAGAACACCATCATATGAGCTTTAACTCATTGGGTTGTTGATGCAAATCATAATTTGCATCAGTTGTTATCTCCTTGACCTAACTTGGTTATTATTTGATGCCAGCATGGAAGAAGCACAGAAGAATATGTACGCTTTTAGCACCACTACTTATACTGGCTTCCAGTGCACTGTAGATGAAGCAACATCAGAAAAATTCAAAGGTTTGTGGATATTGCAACTTCTTGATTGTTCAAATACTGTTCCTATGCTACTTTGTGAGAGTTATTGTGCTTGTTTTTTTATGCAGGATTGCCTGGAGTTCTCTGGGTGTTGCCTGATTCATACATAGATGTTAAAAATAAGGATTATGGAGGTTGGTTTGCTTGAT